AATTTAACAGAAAATCTGGAAAGTCCTCTAGGTCTAGGTTTTATTTCTGTTTAGTATTTTATTTTATTATTCTTAAGGTTGTTATGTTTTCCTATTCTACATAGGAATTGTTATGCTGGTTTAGAATATAAGTCCTTGTTGGATTTAAGACTACTAAATCTCTAAAAATAAGAATGTAGTTTCAATATTTTGATGGCAATAATTTCCACCAACTTGCTTAGATTATGTGACTCAATCTCCCATAGGTGTGACCCTTTAAAGAGCCCTAGATGTCAAGCTTAGGTTTTCTATCCTAATGGTGAGACTCCTAAAATTCCTAATAGCGTGACTCTAGCATACAAACCCCTTCATTTAGCCTTAAGACACCCATCAATAGTCGCTAACAACATCTCATGCATACCTAAAACCCTACAACAATTACCTATCACGGATTCAGCCTGAAGTCTCCTAAAACACTGCTCAAAGCCACGAAGAACACCTGAAACTTGGATCCCTAACAGCCCCAAAGCTGTCCTGCATCACTATCAGTACGTAGAGGACTGAGGTCTCCAATTATACAAGAATTAACAAATATCAACTCAATCATCAATATCATTTTTGGTCTTTCATTGTGATTGTTGGAAATTAATACATCATTATTGCGATGGCCCATGAACAAGGTGTAATGCTAAAAGTAGAAATTATGAAAGCATAAAGGAAAAGAAGAGAACCAGTTGATCTTCTTTACTTCCATACAATTTCGGCCCATCAACATTTCTAATTCTCTAATTTCTGTCCAATACATTATCTAACAAATATCACTTAGGAGATGTCCCATGAACATGGTGTGAAACTCAAAGTACACATAATGAATCATAAAGCAAATGGAGAGGACCAGTTAATCTTTTTTACTTCCATACAATTACAGGTCATGCATTTCTAATTCTCTAATTTTTGTCCATCACATTACGTCACATCACTTGGGAGATGTCCAACAATTAGCAGGCATTCCCATAATATTTTTGAACCTTCCAATAGACATGAACTTCAGCTAACCATATCTTTCCAGCTAACTTATGAAGGAAAAATATGTCATGAAAAAGTCTTTAATGGTGGGATAAGACCATTCTAACAGATCAAAGTGCCAGATAGGTCAAGAGCCAGACAGGGACCCAGCCAGGTCATTTGTAAAAGAGAATGCTTCAAAATCAACTAGAATACTTACATTCATATTGAACCATTGGAATAAACTACTACACAGTAAACAGTCAAAGAATTAAACTTTCTATGCAGACACTTCAAAGTCCCAAACTTGACCGACCAATTCCCCAAAACACAATCAAACAACTAGAAAACCAGATGATCTCAGAAAACAGCACAGGTTAGGTAAATGAGCTTCATTTAACAAATGGATAACAAAAAGCTCGTAAACATAAATCAGAAAAATTTAGAACCATAAAATTGAGAAGCTAAATATCTGTGTGACAAATGTCATCTCTCAAGGTCTAATGGAAAATCTAATCCTTGAAACAAACACAGGATACAGGTTTCACCACTGCAAATACACATGAAAAGCTGCAAAAAAAGAAATTTCATGTCCACATTTACCATTAATGACAAAAATTCAAGAACATGTGAGGAAATGGGGGATTACACCTAATGAATGCTTCAAAGGATTCACAACAGAATAGTCTGAATTGATGAAAGTTTCTCTGGAAAGAAAGGCAAAGTCAATTTCGTATTGGCCAGTCTCTCAAATCTGCAATTACAATAGGCATAATGATAACTATATTGAACGAGCTCTCCCAGACAGCTAGTTTCTATGAAGAGAGGACTAAAGATTACTAGATAGTAGTTTTCCATTGAATCCCTCACTCTTCTAGCTTCTCTGGACCCTGACAGAAATTCTGGCTCCAGTTGCATTAATTTTGCAGTGATTATCTTAACTTTGATTTAATTACTGTCCCTCCTCTATGGTCAATATTATCTCATTCTCATATTCCATCAACATGACACATGGTTAATGTTTCAAAACGAGCAATTCAAAAACTCAAAATGCACCCATTTGGTTCTCACCAAATTTAAAGGTAATTACTTTTCATAAGACATTAAGAGCGATGTAAATCAGAATGTTCAGAACATTCCCTTCTCAATACACAAATCCAGAGCTTCTATCTATATGTTTCATTCCTATTTTAAGGGGACCACATTACTACCTTGTCCTGAAAAGATTTACCATATCATTGACAGATATTCTCAAGCATGATCCACATGGAGGCCTATTAATTTATTTAAAGTGAAGATAAGATCTCATCTATGCAGTGATAAAAATAAACAAAAATAAATAAATAAATAAACAATAAAAGAAGATTGGCAGTGGGAAAATTGTCATTATCAGGTTCTGGTAATACATGTGTTGCTATCTGTGGAAAGTGCACACATTCAGTTTCTGCGGTTGCAAATTTGAAACAATCCATTCATTGCAATATAAATTATCTGAACATTGTTTAAGAAAATCATTTAAATAAATGTCAAAAATAAATATTAGTATTTTACCAGGAGCACATGTCCTTCTAGCATTTCACTTGGATAAATGCAATATTATCAGAGAAACTTTGTTTCAAGTCAAAATAAGAAAACTATATAATGGAAATAATGTGGTAGGAATCAGATCAATTCCCTTATTCTTTACAATAATAAAAAGGAACGCAACAATTTTCCAATATTAATTCCTCTTGGTAAAATAAGCGGCATAGTTCATGACTAGTAAATTTGTAAAAATGAAGCCCACATAAAGCAAGCTAAGGAACAAACCTGGCATTCTGGTTGTCCTATTCTTTCCGGGAATTCTCCCTTCATCCTGGCCGCTGCAATAGCCTAGAATTCAACAAGTCTTAGTTCAACATATACATCCAAGAGATTTTTTTTTAAAACAAGGAAACATGAAAATTAAAACTGCTAAGTGAAAATGAGCATGCCAAAACTTGAATTGCAATTTTGCTACTCCATGCAAGACAGCGTTTACATTCCAAATATATGCATACAAGAAAACATTTTTCGATACAAAAGCATCCCTCATTCCTACGTTCTACCATATCATTATTGGATATGTCTGCATTCAGTCAAACAAAAAACACATGCATGGCCATATGTGCGGATGTGTGATAGACTGACAGGGGAAAAGCAAATAAATATGCACCAAAGGAGAACTGAAAGTTCAGAAAGCTTTCTTCAGGATATTGGGTATACTTCCCTGATTTAAAACAACTCAATAGGTGAGTTCAATGCATTTTGCTTGGACTTACTAGTAAATTAGTTTTTAGAAACATTATTTGATAATAGACACAATGAAAATCAGCATATAAGAACAGTTAAGTACACATAGTTGATTATGTTCAATTGTAAACCAAATAGCAACATATGCAATAGTTTTGTAGCATTTCTATAACAATAAGACAGAAACCACAATCTGCCAAGACTCGGGTGCTCAGTTCAACTGCGTTCATTGATTCTAGATAAGAATCTAATTGAAAATGTGGTAATATTACTGTAGTTTTTGTGATCCGAGAACACTGCAGCTCATACCAGCTTCCGATTAGGAGGATGATTAAATCGGCAGGTAGGCCCAAATCTACAGAGGCCTGTTCTTATGTAATAAGAACAATCCGGCTCTCCGGGACGCTCGGGATACGGCCCAGCTTCCATTGTCTCACTTGATCTCAGGTTCATTTGCCATATTGCATCTGAAATGAAACTGGACAGGTGAGGTCAAACATCTATGAGAAATCTTCGCCAAACAGAAACAAAGAATAATTTCCCGATATTCATTTTCTCCATGATCTCCTATAAGGATCTCTCCAAATCCTGTTTTCCCTGTCTGTATATATGCAGAGTTGCTCGAATCAGAAAGTAAAGGGTATAAAATGAAGAAAAAAAAAGTGAAGCTTGTACACGGCATAATACTTGAGATTTTGCATAATAATGAAGGGGCAGCAAGAAGCTAAATATTTCATGCAAAAATCGTGGGTTAATTTTACAAACACCAGTTCGAATGTTAGATTCTTGGACAGTTAAAAACAATTGTTGCTTTTCATTACATTTACATGCAAAACATTAAACAGAAGGCAAGACAGTGTTAGAGCGCTTGAAACAGAGGCTAAAATTCTGACCCATCAGCCGACAAAAACCAAAATTCGTATAACTTAAGACAAACGAGCTGGAACTGAACAAATTCAGACACGATCAAACAAAATTTACGACAGAGGAAGGGTAAAACAGAGAATTCTCAGCATTTCTTCCATTAATTTCCAATGACCATCACCAAACCAAAGACAACAAACAAACCAGGAAATTCAATGTTTATTTACTACTTTATTATCATAAAAGACAGCACAGAGATAGATAGAGAAGCAACATGTGAACCTTCGCTTAAAGACGGTGACAGAGAAGTTTCCTCCGTCACAGCTGGTAGACCACCAACACCACGAGACATCGGGATTCCGGCATCAAAATCCATTTCTTACTCTGATCATTCTCTCTATACTACCGAATTCTCAGTTTTCCATTCTCTTCCGGAATTCCCATTCCAACAGGAAAACCAAGAATTTGTGTTTTTTATGTTCTTTCAATTTTATTAGTGAGAGAGTGGGGGGGGAGGGGGGTGAGTATTTTTTATTATTATTTATTTTTTGCTTAGAGAGAGAGAAAGAGAGAAAAAGGGCGTAGTGTCCTCCTCTCCACAAAAACTCAAGGGAGAATAAAAACCAACCAACCAACCATCCAAGACCAGACACCCCTCCCTTTCTTTCTCGCCTTTTCTTTTTCTTTTTTCCTTTTCTTTTTTCTTTCTTTTTAACCCGCGTTTTATATTTCTTTTTTCTTTTTTTTTAATCACTGAAAACGAACGGCTCTCACAGATTCTCTCGTCCGTGTAAAATGTCTTCTACTCTCTTCATCTTAGCGCCACGTTATGGTGTCTTGGCCCCAAGTCTTTCTTTATTCATTTCCCTATGCCATGGCTGCTTTTCCACGCTTCATGTCAATGCTGATGATATACATGCCAAAGTTACAAATTAGCCCCCGAACTCCATGGTTATTTGACATATTACTCACCAGCGGTTAAAATCTTTCTAATTTCTCCTCTTTGCCCCCATCAACTTCCTTCCCCTAAAATTAATTTTATAGAAATTCTCCATTATTATTTTGTATTTATTTATAACTTAGTTCTTCATTCGATTTTAAGTTCTTTTATATTTTCTTTCCCTTTTTTAAATAAATAAGAAATAGCAAGGAGGTGGATAGATGGGAAATCTCAATGAAGTACAAAGCAATTTATTGAATAAAAACCACTAAATTCAGTATGGAAACCATTTGTTTTTCTTCATGCTACATAATTTACTCAAATCACCGTCGACAAATTTATTTGAATACAAAAATAATAATTAAGAAAAAAGAGTACTCATTCGGGCATCTAACCCTTTTAGTCCCATTAGGATTCATTTCTTTTGAAAATTCAAATTTCATGATACATTATGGTTAGAAAAAATATTAAAGTCATGTGGAAATTAATGATATCCTTAACAATGAAGGGACTAAACTATAGAATAAGATTCACTAACATATGTTAAATAGTTTTGTTTAGATTTATTAAATCTTTCATTAAAGAATTTTATAGGATATCTTTTTAAACTTAAAACACCAACAATACCACATCCAAAGTACTAAACACAACCTTAAAAACTTATTAAAGTTAGGATGGTATAGAACAGATGATTTACTTATGCTTAACTTAATTATCCTTAAAGCCTTAATAGTTAAATTCATCCATTTAAACTCTATCTTCTCAAATAATTAATTTATAATTAAAAGCAATAATTATACTAGATTTTTTTATGAATTTCTTATAAAAAGTAGTTAATTCATAAAAAATACATAACTCATTATCGGACTAATGTATAACTATAGCCTTTTAAAGGGTCAGTTGACCTCTACGTAATAGGTTCCTGCTAATATATGAATTAGGAAAATAAAGAGTTACTAGATGCTATCATAACATTTTAACTTAGTTTATTTAAAAATAGAAAGTCAGTACTTATTAATATTTTAGTTCAATAAAAGAGAGATGAAGTACAACTAAAAATGATTAATTATTAATCAAAGAATTTGAAATAAAGAAATACTTTAGGATTAAAGTTAAGTAATTAGTACTTAAAAGTATATTTTTATTAAGATTTTATATCAGTACTTTACACTTGAAATATCAATAACCCTTAATTAAAACATATTTTATAGTAACAAATCTAATACTTGGGAGGAGACATCAATCTTTTTGTCATGTCACTATGAAAGTGTCAAGTATTTGTTGTACTAAATATTATTATACTTATTCTTGATTATTTAGATTAATCATTTAACAAGCAAAGTATTAAGAGTGAACAAGATTACAAATACAAAACATGTTAGTATCAAACATTAAAGTCTATGTTGAGTTTACACTATACTTATTCTTATACCATTAGTATAACATTTTCACCTTTACATAATAAACTTAATTAAATATAATAAAAGAAAGAAACATAAATAAACAAGATAAGAGAATAAATAAGATAAAAGTTAACTAAGTAAAGATAAGGAAATGAGAAGCATAAACAAGAGAATAATATAAATAAAACTTAAGCATTACAATAAAGAAAGAGCAAGAACATAATATTGATTTGCAAACCAAGATGCCTAAATGCATGGCAAATGCCTTTTTTTTATAGGCTAAAATTTAGAACTATTGATTTGATGACTAATTGTTGAGTGGATAGCCAACTCTTAACTTGATGACAATCATTATCTTATTGTTTAAACAAAACATCATTGCTAATGTCAGAAATCATGAAAGTTTTAGAAAATTGTCTTAGTTTTCCAACAAAAAAAATTAAGGTCATTTAGACTTCTAGAACTCAAGATATGGCCTGAATACTGAATAGTATCTGGGTTGGAAGATAGATTCAGACTTCTCTTTTGATACTAAAATTTGAACTTCCAAACGATAGAATTAAGTTTTAGATAATGCATGAAAGTTTTAGGCCTATATCTTAGTTTTCCATCAATATAGAGCAAACCCAAATCCAAGTTCTACAACTTAAAATATGACCCAATAACTAAACAGTGTTCCAGTTTGGACTAAACCAATATTTTTTTTCTAAGCTTAGCCATCTCTTTATCTTTTTACTTTCAGTAGTTAAATTCATCAATCAATTTCTTGATTTATGTGATAAGCCTACATTTAAGATGAATATTTACCATAAATTAAAAGTATCTTATATTATTAGATATGTTATTATAAAACATGTTCTAGCTAAGGAGTTATTGATATTTTAAATGTAAAATGATAATATAAAACCTTGATACTAATCACATAGCCCAATCGTATAGTATAACTGACACTTGTACTATGAAAGGAACTTAATTTGTTGTTAATATAAGTTATAATCATGAATACTTGACAACATTTACAAGTATTAACATTATTCAAATAAGATAACTAATGTAATCATGTTAACAATTTATAATCCGATTGGCACCTTTTTTTCTGTGTGGTTTCTAGTTGAGTAATAAAAATAGTTCATACTATACTTATTTCAAATACTATTAGTGGATCCTCTAACCTTGATATATATTTTTTATCATTGTTTAATTCTCACATTAATCTTACAATCAAAAAGTCCTCTTTAACCTTTTCTTCTTCTTCTTATTATTGTTATTGTTGTTGTTGTTTATAATTTATATAGTTAACCTTCTTATGGTTCGACCTCGATCTTGTTGAGTTATTTATTACTTCGACACTCCTGCATTTGGGAGAAGACATCAATCTTTTGGTCGTGTCAAGTTTTTGGCACCGTTGCTAAGGAGGTAAATTCTTGTATAAATTATAATATTTATTTTATTTTCACTTTTTACTTTTCTTAAATCTAACTTTGTTTCTTTTATTTTGTTTTTTTTCTTCCTTTTATTCTCTTCCTACAAGTGCATGAGAGTTTGGTCACATATATTAAGTAGGGTATCCTCATCATTCTTAGAAAATATGGTAGAAGAAGATAATTAGTCACTTTATAATAAGAATAATGAGAATAACCATGTTAGAACACTTAGAGACCATATGAATCTCACATGAACAAGTGCACCCTCATGCATAGTTTTCCCTTCTAATGTATCTTATTTTAATTTTAAGCCAGACATTATTCAACTTTTACCTTTTTTTCATGGCTTAGATTTAGAAAATTTATATTTGCATTTAAGAGAATTTGAGGAGGTTTGTAACACCTATAATGACTCATATTGTAGCATGAACACAATCAGATTAAAACTTTTTACTTTTTCATTAAAAGATAAAGCTAAAACGTGGCTATAAAATTTGAGACCAAGATCCATTCGTGCTTGTAATGAAATGCAATAACAGTTTTTAAAGAAGTTTTTCCCTTCTCATAGAACAAACTCTTTCAAAAGATAAATCACCACTTTCACTAAAAAACTAGGAGAAATATTTTACCAATATTGAGATAAGTATCAAGACTTACTTAATACTTGCCTTCATCATGGTTTTAAAACATGAATATTGGTTTCATATTTTTATGAAGGGTTAACACCTAAAGATAAACAAATGGTGGAATTGATTGCAATAGAACTTTTAAAGATAAAGACCCTAATGAAACAATAAAGTACTTAGATTTGTTAGCTAAAAATGCTCAAAATTAGAACACTGCAAGTACTTATAAGGAACCGGGTAAAACTCAATCCCATACATTTAGTGGAGGTATGTATAACCTTAGGGAAGATCATGACCTCCAAGCTAAGTTTGCATCTTTAGCTAGAAAAGTCGAGGTAATAGAATTAAAAAATAGTGGTAAATTAAAATATGTTCAAGATATTGTGTCAAATCTATGAAACCAATGAACACTCAACCAATAACTGTCCAACTTTGCATTCTTTTAGGGAATGCTTTCATGAACAAGCTCATGCTTTAAATAGTTTCCAAAGACCTAATCATAATCCATACTCGTAAATATACAACTTTAGTTAGAGAAATCACTCAAATTTCAATTGAAAGAGTGATAATAATAATGCACAAACTTCACAGCCACCATTTTAAGCACACCATAATTTTCAAAATTCTCATGGATATGCATCTTCTTATCCTTCATCTCCTAAAAGAAATCTTGAGAAAATAATGCATGTATTCAATGAAAAGTAAGAGACAATCAATACTCAACTTGCTCAAAGAATGATAGATTTTAAAGATACTCTTGCAAAATTGACATCTGTTTTTAGTTTTCAAGATAAAGGTAAGTTTCCATCTCAACCACAGCAAAATCCTAATATGCAATATAATGCAAATACAAGTAGTTCCAGAGGTTAACATATATATTAAGTTAAATTAGTCATCACTCTTTGTAGTGGTAAGGTTATTGAAAAACCCACTCTTAAACCTTGTAAGAAAGATGATGAGTTAATCTCTGAGGGTAAGGAAAGGGTTGAATCTGAACATTGCAAAGAAAAGACTGATTTCTCGCCAGTACTTCCATTTCCTTATACCATAACCAAATAAAGGAAAGTCAATCACAACTCTAAAATTTTTGAAACTTTTAAACAGGTAAGGATCAATATACCTTTGTTGGATGCTATTAAACAAGTATATTTCAATGCTAAATTTTTGAAAGACCTGTGCATTGTAAAGAGAAAACTGAATGTGAAAAAGAAAGTCTTTTTAACTGAACAAGTAAATGACATTCTTTATAACAATAATGCTTTGAAATATAAAGACCTTGGTTGCCCTATAATTTCTTG